GATTTGAGTGAAATTATATACAATACATCTCTCCATTTAACACTTCACACATATTTTGTTTTATGACACTGATTATAATCCCCACACTTTAACAGCTCTCTTCTCACTTCCTCCCTGTGGTTACCCTTTCTCTGTATCCTTCTTCCCTATGCATTCTTGCCTCCCTGGTTTTCTCCCTGATTTTTGACTTGGAGTAATTTGTCTTCTGTCTGCTTTATCTCACTTTTTCCTTGCCCCACCCAGGTCTAACTCGTTTCGCTGAAGGTTATTTGAGGTGATGAAAAGGTTCTAAAATTGACTTTGGTAATTTTGCATATCTGTGAATATACTAAAGAACATTGAATTATACAGTTTAAGAGGGTGAATCATATAGTATGTAAATTATATCTCCATGTAGCTGTTCAACAACAATGACAATAACAAATACAGGGAAATAAGAAATAAATCTGGTGTCTGCTGGAACTGGGTTTCCAGCATTGCCACTCTGACCTGGCTGTGAGTCTGGTACTTACAGCCTCCCCTTAGCAAAGGGAAGTGTATTTTTGTCATCCCAGAAATAACAGCTTGGCTGAGCAGAGAAGCCAGGTCTCTGGGATCAGCCCACAGTTGGGCTGCTTCTTTTGGTTCTAAGGCTAAGCCTCTGCTTTGGGTTCACACACTCATGAAAGCCACCCATAGATAGGTATAGTTTGTTTTTTTCTGTTTCATGTCTCACTAAGTAGGATATGCTGGTGGGTCAGACCCTGCCCCTTTAAGGTCCCTCTGATGATCATAGAGGACAATCGTTGCTTGGTTACATTGTTACATAGGGGGCAACTATACTGAAAAGGCCACAGCAGGCCTAGGCCAGATTCATGGGATGATGATAGGGTTTTCTTAGAGGTTGGGTACAGCCTGGTAGTTCTGCCTGGAGGACAGCCTGAGGACTGGGGAATCCTGCGGCCTTTAAGCTTCTAGAGGTGGCTTTTATATCAAGAACTGGCCTAAGTGTTCCATCTTTACTTTAAGGAAGCTTGGAAGAGGAGGCTGTAGACATGTTTCATCCACATATATTAGACACCCCAGCTGTGATTTTTGACAATGGATCTGGACTGTGCAAAGCAGGACTCTCTGGAGAGTTTGGACCCCGTCACATCATCAGCTCTGTTGTGGGGCATCCGAAATTGAAGACGTCTTTGGCAGGAGCCAATCAGAAGAACCACTTCTTGGGAGAAGAAGCCCTATGCAAGTGTGAACCCCTACATCTGCACTACCCCATTGAACGTGGCCTGGTCATGGGCTGGGACGACATGGAGAAGCTCTGGCAACACCTTTTCGAGTGGGAGCTGGGCGTGAAACCCAACAACCAGCCCGTGCTCATGACCGAGCCCTCCTTGAACCCAAGGGAAATTCGCGAGAAAATGGCGGAGGTAATGTTTGAGACCTTCAATGTGCCTGCCTTCTATCTGTGCAACCATGCGGTGGCAGCACTCTATGCCTCTGCCTGTGTCACAGGCCTGGTGGTGGACAGTGGGGATGGGGTCACTTGCACTGTCCCCGTCTTTGAGGGTTACTCCCTGCCTCATGCCGTCACCAAGCTCTATGTGGCGGGAAGGGACCTCACAGAGCACCTCACCCGGCTCCTCCTGGCCAGTGGGCATACTCAACTCTGCATACTCAATAGGGGTGTGGTGGGTGACATTAAAGAGAATTTGTGCTACGTGGCCTTCGATCCAGAGAAGGAGCAAAACAAGAGGCCAGAAGAAGTCCTGAGAGAATACAAACTGCCTGATGAAACTGTCATCTGCATCAAGGACCAGCTGTACCAGGTGCCCGAGGTCCTCTTTGCTCCTGATCAGCTGGGTATCCATAGCCCCGGGCTGGCGAAAATGGTCACCACCAGTATCATGAAGTGTGACATCGACATCCAGATGAGGCTTTTCACCGAGATTGTGCTGGCCGGGGGCACCACTCTGTTCCCTGGGTTTGAGGAACGCCTCATGAAAGAGCTGGAACTGCTGGCTTTGGAAGGGACCCCCATCAAGATCACTGCTTCTCCTGACAGGTGCTTCTCTGGGTGGATTGGCGCATCTGTTATGACCTCTCTTAGCACTTTCAAGCAAATGTGGGTCACCTCTGCCGATTTCAAGGAGTTTGGGCCATTTGTAGTCCAAAGAAAGTGCTTTTAGAGGACACCGCAAGGTACAGCTAGAAGCCTTGGGGCACCAAGGGCAAGTGACATCATCCCTCAGGCTTTAGCATGATCTTCAAATAAAAAGCGATTTGCCCTTTCTGGTTGTGGTTCATTCTTGCTGGAAGCAGAATAATTTCTGACCCTGAAAGTAAATCTGTAAGTAGTTCTTTTCCACCCTTCACCTCCCATGAACCTTGTCAGTTGACTTCTGAGAAACCTTGGCTTGTGAGTTGAACCTGTTACCTGCAGTATGTAGTAATAATGGGTGCCTGGGCCTCATGCCCAGTGGCTTGATCCAGCAGGGGCCCTGAAATCTGCATTGTAAACAAGTGCCTTGAGTGGTTCTGATAAACCCAGTGTTCAAGAGACACAGTCAGTAGGGGGGGACAGTTGGGGATGAGGAGAAATGCTACTCTGTTCTTAGGGTGCAACAAACCCTTTAGCTGGATGGATGTTAGCATGATAGGGCTCTCACTTTGCTTTTGTGAGACTGGGCATCTAAATAGGATAGAGTTACTTTCCTTGGCAGACAGAGAGAGGTGGGCACAGAAATCACCATTTGTTTATGATTCTCTAAGCTCAGGGATGCTGTTCTCAGGTAGGGAATTGTATGAATCATCACCACCTCTACTTGATTATTGTAATCTTTCTGCTTTATTTTTTATTTTATTTTTACTTTCCAGGGTGTTTATGGCAATATTGTATTGGGAGTAAAAGACTGGAAATAGTACGTTTGGATAAATTTTACATAAAGGGTAATTTTTCCACATTCATTTGTGTAATATCCCTATAATACTATTGGGAGAGACATGTAAAATGCAAAGGTGTCTTCATAATGTAATTTATTTTTTCAGGGGGTAAAGAAAATGTCTCTTTCCCATGTGTATGCATATCTTTGCACATTTGTGTATATATATGTAAAATTAAAATGTTGTTTTATGGTTATAAACACATGGAAACAAGACACAAGGATATACCCCAGGGGACTTACACAGGTTGGTGGGGGGAACTGGGAATGAGGAGTACTGAAGATGGAAAGAGGAGACAAAGAGGGAAGAAAAAAAATGAAAAAAGAATTGCACAAGAAATTCAGCATGAATGAATGATTCTTTGTAGATATAGACAAGCTCTTTCTGAAATTTATATGGAATGATATAGGAACTAGAATAGCCAAAATCATTTTGGAAGATGTATATTGTTGTAGGGATCACACTTCCTGATTTTAAGACTTAGTACAAAGCTATAGTTTTCAGGACTGTGTGGTGTGGAGAAGGCCACAAATCTAGGCAAATAGATCAGTGGAACACAATAAAGAGTCCAGCAATAGAACCACACAAGTACAGCCTATTTATTTTTGAGAAAGGTGCAAAAGTAAGTAATGGAGTAAGTGCAATGGAATAAGGAGAGTCTTTAAAACAAATGTCATTAAAATTTGGACATTTATATGCAAAGAAGCACTCAAAATAAACCTCTCACCTTATGTACAAATTAACTCAAAATGTATCATTAATATTCTTGTAAAACATAAAAACTGTAAAACCTTTAGAACAAAGCATCAGAGACTATCTTTGTGACTTAGGGTCAGTGAAAAAATTCTTAGCTTCTACACAACTGAACATCATCAAAATGAAAAATTTTTATTCAAGAAAAGAAACTTTCAAAGGGATAAAAAGACAAGACACATTTGGAAAAATAATTTTACAAATCATATTTTGATAAAAGACTTAGGTCTGCAAGATATAATAAATTCTCTAAGCTTACCAGTTAGAAAACACCCCATCCAAATAGAAAATGGGCAAAAGACTTGAACAGACACTTCACCAAAGAGGATATATGGTTGGCAAAAAACAAACAAACAAACAAACAAACCTTGAAAATATTTTCAACATCATTAGCCTTTAGGGAAGTAAAAATATAAATTATTATGAAATACCATTGCAAACCTCTTAGAATGACTAAAATAAAATTCTAATGATAAATACCAAGTGTTGACAAGGAGATGAGCACCTGGATCTCATGAATTATGGGTGGGAATGTGAAATGCTGCAGCTACTCTGGAAAACACTTTGGCAGTTTCTTATAAAACTAAACATTACCGTATAAGCCAGTAATCACACACTTTGTATATTTATCCTAAATAAATAAATAAACTATGTTCACACAGAAGTCTGTGCTTAAATATTCCTAGCAGTATTATTAGTTATAGTCAAACCTGCAAATAATCCAGATATTCTTCAATGGAATACTACTCAGCAATAAAATAGCGGTGAACTATTGGTGAATGTAACAACTTGGATAGATCTCATAGTCATTATGATAAGTTCAAAAAGCTAATTTCAAAGTGTTACACACTGCATAGTTCTTACATATTAACATTTTGAAGTGAAAAGCCAATAATGATGGAGAACAGATCAGTAGTCACCAAAAAGTTAGAGCTGGAAAGAAGGTGTGGCTATTAAGTGATAACACAATGACATTCATTTGTAGTGATAGAACAGTTCCCTATTTTGATTGTGGTGATGGTTACACATCTCTAGTCATGTGATAAAATTTCATAGACCTATATAGCAACAGGAGCGCTGGTACCACAGTGCCTAAGGCACTTGACTGCTAACCAGAAGGCTGG